ATTGTGTCTTTTAAAAAACAATTTTCTGCTACTCAAATTACAGCCTATGTGAGGGGGCTTTCATTTCAAACAATTGATCGTTGAGACTAGTGAAATAAGTATTTTTTATATACGTCATTTTGCAATCCTATGTATTTTATTTTATACATTTAAAAACATTTTTCTGAGAAGGCTTCTATTAGATTCCCCAGACTAACGAAGAGACACACACAACACACACAAAAACTTAAGAATTCCTGTTATTAAAGAAGGTTGTGCCTTATTTTATGTTTCCATCCCTTCCTTTTTTCTTGTTCCTGCTATCCACTAAAAAGAGTTGACCAAAGGCTACTTACCCCCTCAACCAGGGTCTTTACAGGGCTTTTTCTAGACACATGGACTCCTAACTTTGGGTCTGTGAACTTTTTTAAAAATGTAATTCTATAACTGTGTTGCAATCTAATTAGTTTCCTTTATAATTATAATTTTGTACATTTAAAAACATTATTCTAAGAAGGGATCCATTGTCTTCATCAGAATGACCAAAGATGTTCATGGCACAGAAAAAGGTTAAAAACCTCTGTAAATAAATACGGAGAGGGGCAGCTAGGTGGCGCAGTGGATAGAGCACCGGCCCTGGATTCAGGAGGCCCTGAGTTCAAATTCGGCCTCAGACACATAATATCTACTCGCTGTGTAACCTTGGGCAAGTCACTTAACCCCATTGCCTAGGCAAAAAAAAAGAAAAATTAAATAAATAAATAAATACGGAGGCTAAGAAAGCAAATAGTAGTGCTCCAAGTTCCCTTTAAGACCAGTCTACTATATACTAATTGGGGACTGAGTTCAAATCCAGCATCAGACACCCACTAACTGTTTGACCCTGGGCAAATCACTTAATCTTTGCTCCAGTTTCCTCATCTGTAAAATGGAGATAATAATTGCACCTACGTCACAGGATTGCTGTGAGGATAAAATGAGATAATATTTGTAAAACACTTTGCAAACCTAAATGCTCGCTATTATATTTTTACTAGGCAGGTATCATAGACTGCCTCTCCTAATAAATATCTCAAATGTGCATATCTCCTTAAAAGACAAGGGATGTAGTTAACAGACATTCAAGAATAAAATTAAGATGAGCACCTCTGAGGAAATTTTGATTAAATGGGAATATGCAAATTTATCCAAATTACTTTTCTGGACAAGGAATAAATTTTCTAGTGTAAAATCCTAAAAATTAACACATTCATAAAAAGAAAATGGGAATGGATACATACATATGCATATACATATTTCCTACATCTTGTTAGATTACACTAATGCTAGGCCTCACTGCCCTAACAATGGGGAGAATGTTATCCTTTTGACTGAAGCCTGCAGACACCGCCCCCACCCCCAGCTGGCATGTATGTATTGCCACACTCTGCCACAGAAGAGAAGAGAAAAAACTTCTTCCTCCAGTTTCCGTGGACTGTACTAAGTGTACTTAGCCTTGGTGCCTTTGCATAGATCAAGGCTATATTCAAAAGGTCACCATCCACAGATTCATTTTCCTGCTTTTCCTTTCCCCATTAAATGCCATCATTAATTTACAGCTGAGCTCTTCCCATGGGAAAGCTTATTTGCTCTGGGTTTCTGTGAAGATTGGCTACTCTCTGGCCTGATGACCTTAAGCTCCTTCTAGACACAGGGACTCCTACTTTTGATAAATATGTTTCAACACAATTAGTTTCCTTTGTAATTGTAATTTTATGTCTGTGAACTTGAGATTCTTCTTTTTTAAAAACTATATTTTGATAACTATTGCAATATGAGTTTCTTTTGTAATTGTAACTTCATATTTTTAAAAACATCTTTCGTAGCAAAGATTTAAAATTTGGAAGAAAAAAACAGTTAAACATTAAGAACCAAATTTTCAAAACATATGCAACATTCCATTCTCATAGTACCCCACCTAACCAATGAAAGGAGATAAATTTTCTTATGTCTCAGGACTAACTTCGATCATTGTAATCATACAGTGTTCAGATTTGCTTTATTGTTCTTTCCTAGATTGTTATTGGAATGGGTGTGTGTGTGTGTGTGTGTGTGTTTCCCTTGTGGAGGCAAACCATTAAGGGCCTTACAAAACGACTGGCAAACCACAAGATGTGACTTACCCTATTGTTTCCAATAGCCTGCCAAGTGTCTTTCTTGCCTGCTTAACTACTTTAAACATTTATTCATTTGACAAATATTTATTAAGTAAATGTGATTTGAAAAGCACTGTCTTCTTTACTAGTTTCTTATCTCTTTCCCATCCCTAACATGTGCACTCAAAGGTCTTCAATTGGATTATTCTTAAGATATGTATGTATGTATGTATTTATGTATATGTATATATATGTATATTTATAGAGTTTTAGACTTGGAAGTGACTATAGTTATCTTCTAGTTATCATAGTTATCTTATCCTTATAAGGTTAAGGGATTGGACCATGTGAACTCTAAGGTCCTTCTTAATTATGTATCTATGATGGGATGGTCCTGTATTTTACTACGTAAAGTTAAATCACGAGTAGTAAAATATTAGCCATACCCAACAGTAGTCAAACATGGAGGACAGGGCTTGTGAGGGTACCATCATCCTTCCAGACCCCAAGGATCATAACCTCAGTATCATCTTCGACTTTTACTCTCCTTTATTGCACATATCCAGTTACTTGCTAAATCTTGTCATTTTTACCTCCCTGTCTCTCAAACTTTCCCCTTCTCTTTACTCCCAGAGCTGCCACCCTCGTTCAGACCTCCATCACTTCTCCCGGTACTATTTCACTAGGCTCCTGGGTGGTCTTTCTACCTTAAATCTCTCTCTGTTCCAGTCCATTAGCCATACAGCTGCCAAAGTGATTTTCCTAAATGAAAATCTGCCCATGTCATTTCCTTATTCCATAAGTTCTAGTGACTCCCTGTTGATGCTGGAGCAAAATATTATTTTGTCTTTATTTCACTATTAATATTTTTTAATATTTGTATAAGTTTTGTCATGTAAACAATTATTAGACAGTAGTACATTATAAATTTATAAATAAGGAAATGTGCGCAATTAGGAGTGTAAACTCAAAAATATTTTTGGTGGTAGGGTGCACAATCAAAAATATTAAGAGATTACTCTTCTACACTATTTGTGAACATTAGAGGAGATAGTAACTGTACCTATCTTTTATATATTTATTGGAAAGAGGTGTTTGGGTTAATTTAGCCAGAGAGAAGATTCATTTTAATATCATCATTATCATAGATGATATTTATTTTGTAGAAATATGTTAATTCTTGCAAAATGCTTTATGTACATTAGCTCAAGTGAAATATACCAGTATTTCTTAAGTCTTCTCTGAGAAGAATAATTTTGGTTCTGGATTATGACAATATGCAACCTGTCAAATTTGCTATCAAATGTAAGTTTCATTAACAGGCCCCATTGCTAGTTTCCTTTTACAATGCTATACAAGGACTTCCCAAGTTGTAGACATGAATGGCCGGTTCTCCCCTCACCATCCTCCTCAAGACGTTTTCATAACCTTCCCCAGCTCCATCGGTCAGTCAATGAACAAGCATTTATAAATAGGTATGCCCCAAAATGGGGTCATGAAGAGTCGAGCATGACTTAAATGACTCAACAACAAACAACAGCAATGTGCCAAGCACTGTGCTAAGCACAGGAGAAAGATAAAAATACATTCCCTTCCTTCAGGGAGCTCACAGTCTAATGGGTTAGACAGCAGGCAAACAACCTTGTACAAAAAAGGTATATCCAGAGGAGAGGTATTATGATTAAGGAAGACTTCTTGCAAAGGCGAGACTTTGTCTAAGACTGGAAGGAAGCCAGCGAAGCCAGGAGGTAGATAAAAGCTCCAGACGGCAACTTCAGTCCTGGTGATTGGTGCAACGAAATAACCCAATGTTTCTTTTCTTCTTTTTTAAGGGAATTGCATATACCATAAGCTATCCTAACTGCCCCTTTCCTCCATGTTTGACTACTGTTGTGTATGGCTCGTGATTTAACTTTATGTAGTGAAATACAGGACCCTCTGATCACAGATTTGTAATTAAGAAGGACCTTAGAGTTCATATGGTCCAATCTCATTATTTTACAGATGAAGAAAATGAGGCCCAGAAAAGTAAAGTAACTTGTCGAAGATCACACAGGTAGTTGGGTCTTCCTCTCTTTCCAGATACAGCACACTCCATTGTTGTTATATTTAGAGACTCCTTCTACAAGGAGCATTTTTGTGATACCCCTTAATGTTGCCAGCTTCCCTCTGTTTATTATCTCCAACATATCCTGTATATATCTTGTTTGTATGTAGTCATTTGTAGCTTGTCCCTCCCCCCCACCCCCTAGTCAGACTGTGAACTCCTTAAGAGTGGGGACTGGAAGGGGTTTTCTTTTATTCTTTTTCATTTTTTTCCTTGACCTTCTTTGTATCCCCAGCACTTAGCACTGTTGTTGTTCAGTCCTTTCAATCACGTCCAACTGTGTGACCCAATGAGAGGTTTTCCTGGCAGCGATACTGGAGTGGTTTGCCATTTTCTTCTCCAACTCTTTACAGATGAGGAACTGAGGCAAATAGGGTGACTTGCCCAGGGTCACACAGTTCATAAGTGTCTGAAGCCAGATTTGAACTTAGAAGATGATTCTTCCTGACTTCAGGCCTGGCACTCTATCTACCATACACACCACCAAGCTGCCCACTTAGCACTATACCTGGTACCTGAAAAGTGCTTAATAAATGCTTATTGACTTGACTCCAAACATCATAACAAAATCATATATGGAAAATATGTAGGTAGTGGCTTACATCAGGAGTTTCTCCAGTTAATGAAAAGTAGGGGCTATACTTATTTAATGTAGTTTTATTTAAAAATGCCTTTTCTGTGTTTATGTAGTAAATACGGCTTATGAATTTATTTCCAAATAAAATGAATTCCTCAGTAGCTTGAGGATAATAATACCTTGTAATCATTTTGTTCCATAGAATGATTGAAGATAGTGGGAAAAGAGGAAATAACATGGCAGAAAGAAGACAGCTATTTGCAGAAATGAGTAAGTATGGAGCTTTTAAGAAATGTACTCTGAATTTCTCATTTCTCTGAATTTCTCATGAGTAAGTATTGAGCTTTTTAGAAACATACTCCAAATTTTATTATTGCTACCTTTAGCAGTGGCATAGTGATATAGAGCTGGCCTCAGAGTCAGAAGGGCTGGGTTCAAGTCTCAGTTGGGATGTTTGTTGGCTACATGACCCTGGGCAAGTTGTTTAATCTTTGTCACTCTAGGCCAGAAGTCTGCAACATTCCCAGGTGATACAGAACTAGATTAAGATCCAATTTGGAAATATTTAGCAAAATAAAAATACAATAGATCATAGGTAATATTAGTATTTTGTTTTCTATGTCAATATGCAACCCATAGGGATCCTTGTGTAGGGTGTTGGTGGCCCCCATCTCTATTTCAGTTTGGTACCACTGCTCTAGGCAACCCTCTGAAACTGTAATTGAGAGAGAAGATGTTAACCTGAATTGATTGAGAGAGCCTCTTCATCAGTGGGTTCCCTATGCCAGGGACATCACACATCTAATTCTTATCTCTATCATACTCTGAATTTCTCATTGCCAAAAGGGAAAGGGTACATACAAACTTCGTAGCATTATATTTTCCCTACCTGCGAAAGTCTTTGATATGTCCAGTCTTTTATTGGACATTTTAATATACTTGCCTGACCATATGCAATATTTCACGGGAATTAAAATAGAAATTAGTCTTAAGTTGCAAAGTCTAACTTTTATTATGAAGAGGCCATTTCCCAGAGTACAAATCTTACAGTCAGGAAGACCTGAGTTCAGATCCTTCCTCTAACATATATTGTTTGTGTGAGCTCAATGAGCAACTCACTGAATCTCTCAATGTCCTAGGCAGCTCTCTAAAATTATGGGTTGGTTGCAGGTATGCTTTAGTGGAAGGAGTTTTCCTGTGGGAAGGGATTCCTACACAGATGAAATAATAATTTCAGACTTACACATCTATATCCATATATCTTTGTAGACATAGATCTTTGAACTAAAGATTTTATACGGTAAATATTATTTGATGCCAAGATTTTCTTCTTTAACATGTAGACTACAAAGAGACAGAAATCCCAGGTTCATATAAGGAAGAGAAATCAGACACAGTTACTATGCCAGACTATGTTGCCAAACTGTCATCTGTTATTCCCATCTCATGCAGAGAGGGAGAATCTGTCCTACACAGTACCTGTGAAGCACAAAGAGAAATAAAAGATAAAAATAGCTCTGAGGCAGGTTACTACATAAATAGAGGCAGAGAGCCAAGACTCGTTCCTAGTGACTACAAGACAGAGCCTAGAGAAAGGTCAATGTATTGGTCACTGATTGGCATCAGTGCCTGTGTTTTTGCAAGGAGGAAAGAAAATGGGGGGGCTGATTTTTGCTTATAAAATTAAATTGGCTGTCTCCCTTAAGTTCCAAGGCTCATTTCCATATTCATAAGGGAAGAGGTATTTGACATTGAAGAAAAAATACTTAAAGGAAAAAAAAACTACAGTGATAAAGAAAAAGCTGTTCCCTTGTTGGCTCTCTATCTCATCTTTCATGCATAAGAAATAGCAATAAAAATCAAACTTAATTTTTTTCATTTGTTTTAAGGGGGATGGGAGGTTAGGCAATGCCAATATTGCTGTACTTTGTCAGTGTTAGCTTTAGTAGTCTCATCTGTTTGATGTTTAAGAAGTGTTGGGTGATGAGATTCAGATTTTTCTTTATCATCCTTCAGAACTCTAGTGGTACCAGGGCAGTGTTAGACCTAACAAAAGGAAAGGAAATTAAAGTTAGTGATGGAAATAACAAGCAAAATTGAGCTTACCTTTTTTATTTCCTGGGATATTTCTTTTTGAAAGAAATTTCCATGTTTTGATACAACTTCCCTCTTCCTCTTACCACCCATCACCTATGAGTTTCTGGACCTGTTCTAGCACCGAAATTCTCTTCAGACATGACTAGATCACCAAATCACTTGCATGTTTCACCTTGACAAATAAAAGAGTGAAGAATCTAATACTATCTAACCATCTGAAAGTGTTAAAAAAAAAAGTGTGGGTCTTTCCCATATTATAAACCAGAAGTGAAGAACCTTTTCATTTTCAAAAGCCAAAACCATTCTAAGGAATCACCATCAGACTTCAGGCTGTTATGGATAGTGGATATTACATTCTTTTTTCCCCCTGAACATTTCATCCTAAATGTAAAAAAAAAGAAAAATATTTATCTCATTTTTCGTATTAAAAAAACAAAACCAATTCAATTTAACAAACATGTATTAAGCACTTATTCTGTGTTGTGCACTGTTCAAAGGATTTGGAGATGTATAAAGTTGAAATAAAATTAGGTTCTTGCTATCGTGAAGCTTATATTGTCTAGTAGACCAATATAGTTGTATTACATGAACAAATGGAGTAATGAAAAGTAGTTATTAAGCATTTACTTTGTGCTATTCACTGTGTTAAACTCTGAGGATACAAATGTAAAAGTAAGAGATAGTCTCTGCCCTCAATGAGCTCCCCCATTCTAACTAGGGGAGACAATATATGTGGGAAGTGGTGGCCAGGAAAGGGAGTTACTGTCTGGAAAGTCACAAAGATACTGAGTGAGATAATAAAACAATCTGTCAGTATGTCCATTGCAGAGGTGATGGTAGTGTTCATTTGATTGCAATTCTCCTAGCAAGAGGTGGAAAGAGGAGGGCATACCTGAATACTAGGGGGAAAATTGAACATACACATGCTCCTATTACCCTAATATATACATAATAAATGTGTGAGAAGTGCAAAGTGATACTGAGGTCTGGGAACTAAGATGCTGCTATTAATTAGGGGAATAAAGGGAATATTCATGGAGGTAAGCCTTGAATTGAGCTTTAAAGGATCAGTAGGAATTAAAGAGATGGAAGAAAGCATTGCAAACAGAGAGCAACATGAGCAAAGGCTCGGAGAAGAGAAAAAATGAAGTAAAGGAGGAAGGGAGGGAGGGAGGAAGGAAAAAAGGAAGAAGAGGTTAGGCAGGGTAGGGGACAGAGAGAGACAGAGAGAGAAAACGAGAACATTTATTAATCTCTTACTGTAAGCTAGACACTGTGTTAAGCACAGGGCATACAAATATACACGAGCAAGACTACCTGACTTCTTTTTTTTTTTTTTTTTTGGTGAGCAGTCAGGGTTAAGTGACTTGCCCAGGGTCACACAGCTAGTAAGTGTCAAGTGTCTCAGGTCAGATTTGAACTCAGGTCCTCCTAACTCCAACACACACACACACACACACACACACACACACACACACATACACACACACACACACACACACACACACTGTGCACTTAGCTGCTCCCAACTACCTGACTTCTAATGAGGAAAGACAACACATAGAGGGGGGAGCTGGAAATCGGGGGGATGGCCCTACAATGGAGAGGGCAGGGCTGGAGAGATGATGGTGAGGATATTTCTGGGAAGTAGAGGCTTAGACCCGTCTGAGGTGAGAGACCTAGGAATGGAACATTAATGGGAAAGAAATCAGTGTGCATTACCTATCTTTGATTTCTTTTCTCCCATTCAGAGGTAAACTTAAAAAAAATGTTTATACCTAATGGCCTCTATTTCCCCATCATCTATCCATCTACTGGTGCATAGAGTAGGTGAAAGGGAATGATTTGAGATAAATCTGGAGAAATTAAGTAACTTCACACAGTAGAGGTTCTTGAACTGACCAGGCTAAGGAGTTTGAGATCAGCTCTAGGTACAGTAGGGAGCCATTGCAGGGTTTTAAATACAAGGGTAACACAACCATATCTATACAGAAGGCAAAAGCATCCGACAATGGTGCAAATTAATGCTAATAAGGAAATGAGATAATATAGGCAAAGCACTTTTCAAAACTTAAAGCTTTCTATAAATATGACAATGAATTAGAGCAATGAAAGCGACCTCTTAGAAAGTTGTTATTACAGTAGTTCAGGCTGGTAGTGGGATTAAGGAGTGATGGATGAAAAAGAGAGTATAGAGGAAACTGATTAAAGCAGGATTAAAGCAGGAAGCTTGAGGCCGGTGTGCAGGCCAAGGTTCAAGGACTGGCGCTGATTCATGCTGGGGAGAATGCTTGGGGAATTAATGGCTAGTTGATATTTAATCTCCCCCACTTCAGGAAAAGGGACTTTTATCCATTACTTCAGGCTTTTGTTAGCACAGTGACTCTGGGGAATTTGAGCATCCCCAGGGCTCTTTCACATAGTGGGGCTACTAAGGACCTCACAAAGGATAATCAGGAGAGTGTGTTATTTGTGAAATCAAGGCAGCAGATAATAACTAGAAATGATTTCAAGAAGTCACAGAAAACGAGGGCTGCAAAAAAAGTCATTGGATTTGACAATTAAAAGGTCATTTGTGACTTTAAATCATAAGATTTAGAGTTCAAAGAGACCTTAAATATCATCTCATGGAGATCTTTCTCTGTCCCTCTGAAGATTAAGTGACTTGTCCAAATGAGTATGGAGCAAAGCTGAAATTTGAGCTCAGGTCCTCTTTACTCTGCAGTATTTTTTGAAAGAGCAGTTTTAGTCAGAGAGTGGGGACAGAAGGGTGGATGCTGGGGAAATGATAGCTATTCGGTGTAAACTTTTTTTTTTCAAAAATTTTACCTGTGAATGGGAGAAAAGAGATCAAAGATAGATGAATAGGCTGTGAAAATAGAGGCTTTTTGTCCATTTGTTCTATCTCTTTTAGGATTGGGGAGAATTTTGGGGCAGATGGGAAGGAACCAGTGAGAACAAGAGAATAAAGATAGATGAGAGGGAAGGGATGACTGTAGGAATAAGAGGTGGAGGGGCTGAAATCAAAGGCACAAGTAGAATTGTGGAAGATCAGAGCTAGAATGAACCTTAGGTATTCACCCACAGGCTTTTAATAAGCTTAAAATGTCATGAGGTCCTACATCAGAGCACTGTGACTAACCATCCAAAAAAAAAAAAAAAGAAACACAAAA